TACACAGTAGAGACACATGTTAGCTTTTTGCCAGTTTGAATATTCTGAAAAAAATGTAAATATTCTGAAAAAAAACCAACTACTTATGCACACATGACTTTTACGTTATTTTAATCGTAATGTTCGGTGCTTTATTGTCAGATGCGCCTCGCTTTGTCGTGTTTTGTCTTTAGAACTTTTTTTTGTCCACGGCATGCACTTCATTGTTCCTATCCTTTTAGCATATTAAAACCCTTTCAAACAGTTATAAAATACTGCAAAATACAATCGTAAGATAGCTCGCCTCACACAAGTTTTAACTGGCGTGCTTTGTGCGCACTTTTAGTTGCAGTTGCAGCTGGGGGGTGTAGAACGTGATTGGTGAGTTTCAACTAATCGAATACTACATTATTCGAAAATCTACAGCCCTAACACATGTACGTACCTGTTGCTCTGAATACACTGGGAGCCCGGCTGGCATAGGACCATGTATTGGACCGATGATATCCTGGTCTCTCCATGCTGAATCTCAAACTTGATTAAAATCAAGTACCCTCCGATGACAAACCTGGCAGCTATACGTACCAGACCCAGCAAACACGAATCTAAACTTGATGCAGAACTTGACACTGACAGCACAAAAGTTCCGATCCATACAAATCCAACGACAAGTCTGAAACTCAGAGACCATAGACTATCCACAGCTGACAAGAACGTTGATACCGTATGTACCGACCGATCTCATTTGCATGACAGACGAATACACCAGATTGTATTGGCACAGCCACGCACTTTGAAACTCGTCCAAAAGTTTGCATTTGACGGTTGAGCAAACACGCTTTTGGGGAAATCGAGGAAATCTCCACTGTAGAGGAGGTACGTATTTGACCTCATTTGAACCTACATGTAGATAGCAATTCTGTTCCGGTTCTCTTTTACCATTTGTCCTTACATTGCTTTCGGCAATACAAATGATGCAGGTACTGGCAGAATTAAGTCCATGGCCATGGGTCTCCGTTGATCTTGCAGTAAATATGGACAAGTACAAGTAGGTCCGATGTTTGACAAGTCAACTGCCTGAGAACTTGTATGTGTAAGTGACTTTGGTTCAACACGTCTGATGAAGTGCCCTTCAGAAACAATTATCACAAAAGACTTCCCACGGACGTTCATCCAGTTCTCTCAAAAGGATATTTTTCGACTGGAATCATGTTTTTCCAAAATGTTTAGACATCAGTCATGCAAGATACATTGTAGGTCAAACATACAATGTACATATATATATTGTAAAAAAAAACACCGCAACTTCCAAGTAATCATTCAAGCATTGATGATTGTCTCAGTTTTCTTGTGAAAAGTTTTAAATCACGTGGTCTGTTATACAACCAGAAAAATAGAAGCACTTCTTCTCATGCTTATAAATAAAAAAGTAATGTCTTTCGCACCAACAGCATGTCTCCCATAAGTGTCTGAACTTGGCCACGACCCTGGAAAATCTGGTACATCAATTGAGAAAATCAGTTCCAGGCCTGTCCAGGTTCAATCACATGGCAGTGTTCGGCGACTCCCTGCTGGGCCGTTCAGCTGGGTCTATCTTGGGCAGGGTATTTTCCCAGCGACACAGATGTACTCTTGTTGACTGTAGCCGATGACCTCACAGCAAAGTTCGCATGCCTGTTGGTATTGCCTCAAAAACACGGCGCTGGGCAGCTCCCCCAATTGGTGTCGGTTTTAACAAGTCTTGCATACCAGTCACAACGTTGAACTTGCTGCACAAATATTAGAGTGGTTGTGTGCGCAGTTCTGGTTCGCTACAACAATATGGTTACTTTTTTTTTGGCAAAAATATTTATACAGTCAAGGCAAAACAACAGTGAGTAACGAAACTGTACAGAATCCAATCTGCAATGGGAAATACATGTGGTCCAGATGGTTCCAAACGGACGAAGTTACCACCAAATTGAAAAAAAATATCTGTAAAATTATCTATGAAAATTGAAGTTGGTAGTGATGAAACTTCATGTGGTATGACTGGTTGAAGGGCAATACGTGACCCCACCAATGCCAGGTTATTCATAAGTATTGGCAAATGATCGCACTCCAACAGACCAATCTCAAACATGTTTTGTCCTGTCCGAAGTACGCAATATTGACACGCTTAATCAAAATGTACACACCGGAAGTCTGCCGTCTGTTCAAACTCATATTGATCAGCAGTGTCAGTGTGCGCACGTAAAGGTGTCTGGGTGGGCGTGTGCGTCCCTTTGTTCTGTGTGAAAGGTGGTGTTCCTGGAATTAATGGGGTTTTGTACAAAAATTGATATTTCGCCAAAGAATGCGAACAATTTGCGGTGTTGGGATTTTCACTGAAAGGTCACAGCCAGCTTTGGTTTCTGAATGTAAAATCAGTGAGCAACAAACAGTGCAGAATATTGGAGGGGGGAATTGAAGGGGAAAAAAATAGGGTACGGACAACGGAATAACATCTGAAATTTAGACTCAATTCCTGGTATGGGTCATTACTCCTGTGTACGTGTTCTCCTTTGATATTCAATACATTGTGTAAAGCTCAGCCGATCGATACCGATACTGAGAGTGATACCACAATGCTAAGTCTTCAATCATATTTGAAGTGATGTTTTGTTCTCGTTTTTTTTCAGGCGTTCATGTGAGAACCTTGATCAGTAGACCGCACAAAATTAACCTACTTTCAGAAAATAAGGTTGAAGTTGACAAAAATCAATCAATCAATTTATCATGAAACGACGGAACCTTGGTCCTTCAACCTTATTTTCTTGATCCCAATCACAAGTGTGTATTTAAGTTAAAATTATAATTGTCCGAGAAAGTTGCAGTAAGGCCAAGATAACATGTTGTGTTTCCTATTACCTTGAACAAAAAACAACCCATTTTATAGCCAGAAAGAAATAGGATGGTATGCTGGTCAATTAATTAAAAATAATTTTGCATGCATTTGTAATGTGAATCAACTGTTCATTTTGCATTTGCCGCACTGAAAATACCGGTAGGCTTCGCTGCATGACGCCGCAAGACAGCATTGCTGGCCAACCAATTTACAAAAAATGAAAAAAAAAGTTTTTTAAAATGCAGCACGATGGGGGTGGCACCATAACTTTTTATTTTGTTTATTTTTTTTTTAAATAAAAAGATTTAGGTGCTGCGGAAATTGTCTAGGTTGGGTGAGGTAACTAGACACACAAGTATTTTGGGGGTTTTGGGGCCCAAGGAGACCAATGATTTTTTCCCTACCTTTTCATTGATCAAGTGTTACAATTGTGATTCTGTCAATGTGCTAATTCAGTTTCCTCTCTACCCTATCATGTTCAGACTGCTTTACAAATGCACAATGTAGATTTTAGGAGTAGAACTTCACATTTCAAAGAGTGGATTTTAACCACATACAAGTAGTGGCGTTTCAACGAAAGACCAAAAATACACATTGTGTTTTCTCAATATCGCCATCAATCATTCCCATCACCCCTAATCCTATTACTGACAGGGACAAGCAAATAACATGGAAAATACACAATATACAACTCCCTCAATGAAAAAATGGAGAAAAAGAGAAAAGAAACCTATTAACTGCAATGGAAAACCCCTCCACCCATTGGTCAACTGTCAGACCGCATTAACCCCACCACAGGGGGGTTGTTATTGTTTGTCTAGCCCTCTGGTGACCCCCATTGTCAAGGTGTGAAGAGAGTAAACACCAGCAGTTTATTGTACCCCAAGGATAGACGCGCCCCAAACAAGAAGGTGTACCTGGCCTGACTGTGGTGTGACTGTGGTTGGATTGGGTGGTTGGATTGGGTTTACAAATTGCATTTCTAATTCTGCCAAGTTTGTCTGGAGCAGTTGAAGTTTATGCACATAATCAGGACAGCAAAGTATCAAAACTACATATAAATTATTTCATTTTTCACTTGTACATGTATGTAAATGTATGTACCGTCTTACAAACTGTAGATACATGTATACATGCAGTTAGAATTTGTTTCCTCTTTTCATCCATTTTCCCTTTCTTGGTATAAATAAATTTCCAGTTTAATTTTTAATCACATACCGGTATAACTTACAATGAAGTTACTTTTCTTCTCCCTTTATTTACTATAACTTTATATACAACCGTATTTATTTACTCTTCTTAAATTACTCTACCAGTAAGTGTTAATTTATGTGAACCCTAAAAGAACTCATCCTTCATTTGTAATTTGTGCATTATGTTTGTTTGAAGCAACAAAAGTACTCAAAATCTAAGGAAGGGTGCTGAACAACTAACCCAATGAAGTTTCAGCTCAGTAAATGCTGTATATTCCCAGAAAACAATATTCTAGGATCTCAATTTCAAATCAAAACGTTGCTGAGTCATGTTTTGAATTGGGCCTGAATTCAGCATCCGAGACACGTTTAGATGGGAGTTTAGTCCCATAACTCTCTTTAAACCAAGTATGCTTTTCAACAACAATTACGTCAGTTACTTTTTGGAAAATGATGGACTGTATCTTTAAGAACAAACTTGTTATTCGATGCTTTAGATAACAGATTATTGAAGTGGCTCCAGTTTTTTCCAAAAACTACCCACATTTTATGCAACTGGTTACCACAAAGGTGTGGCACATTACATTCCTCTCAAATAAATGATACTTCCAAGAATACATTTACATGTATGGTGTTTTCAACCTCAAGTTCATGCACAAAGGCTTCTCTATACGTGAAAATACACCTCACAACTCCATTTTTAGTTTTCAAATGTTAAATTTTAACCTCCAAGGTTATAAGTTGGATAGACATTCAATGGTGCAACATGTATTTCTACAGTAATTTTTTATGTGTTTATTCGCGATGCCCAAACTGAATATTGAATAAACCATCACGTATGCATACATCCCCCTGTGATGCCATACGGATATGTGTACGGATACTTAACATTTTTCCCTGACGCCGAAACTACCGGTACAATGCCTTCATCAAAAACATTCTCTAAAGTGTAATCTGCTTACCTTTACTTAACAGAGTACACAGACCACTCCACAAACTAGCAGACAGTCAACGTCGGACAGGAACAGGAAGGAAGCTGTAGAGAAAACACTAGCGAGCCATCAAGACGCGCCGCGTAGACGATCCACAAGTTAATCATTAAACGGCTACATGCTGCAACAAGAGAAATAAATCATACTTGCAATTGAAATAAATGGAAATATTTTTTAATTTGTGTGCATACGGTACATGTACAACTATTTCATGTACATGAACTGATGAATACTGGAACATTAACTCAGCTAAAAGGCCACTAACTACCAGTAGTAACTCTGATCAAATATATGAAAATCTTGTCAGAATCTTATAACAAATACCAAGTCAATTGTACTCACAATAGACATCTATAGATCAACGATACGCAATTAAAGTTTTCCTCAAGTAGTCCACATACACACGTAGATTCCTTTTCAGGGTACAGGAACCACACTATTGTCTGGAGGCTGTCAACCATATCACGTGAACTTTTTTTGACACAGCAGTTGTCAAAGTTCAACCAAATAAATACACTGTATTGTCACAGAGTGTGTGATCATTCAACCATGCAGTTTCCACTTTATCAGCTACCAGTTGGCTACGTGCAAACCATGGACCAACTTGAAACCTACATTTACGTGTGTGGGAACAAATGATGATTGTAACATATGAAGGACAATGGTCCGATTCTAAATTCAACCTTTTCAAACGTTAGGAACACACTGCACTTTTGCACTGTGGTGCACAAAACCTATTACTTTCACATACAGTGAAATCTCGATAAGTCAAACTCTGATAACTCAAAACAATTGTTATTTAGTCAAACAAAGAATCCATTCCCTTCAGTACATAACAATAATATACACAACCCTGCTTAACTCAAAACACTGCTTAAGTCAAATTTTGAACCTGTTCCCTTGAGGTTTGAATTATCAAAGGCATGCTGTTCACACTAATGCGGTGTCAACATGGGTTCGATTGTAGATTATGAATTTTGTAGCCGGGTCGATCCCCCCCCCCCCATCCCCCCACCCCCACCAACTCTGGGTTGGATTTTACCCGTAGAGTGCTGGACCTGTGTAGATGTTGCGTTTGATTCTTGCTGATGTAAAAGGGATTCCCGAAATCTCCGTCCCCAGAACCAACAAAGAGATTTTGGACACTAACGCGGTGGCTACAAGGGGTTCGGCTGTAGATTTCTAATTTTGTAGCTGGGTAGATCTCCCCCACCCCCACCAACTCCGGGTTGGATTTTTTTCCGTAGTGCGCCGGGCCTGTGTAGATGCTGTATTTGATTCTTGCTAATGTAAAAGGGGTTTCCGAAATCTCTGTCTCCAGAAACAGATTTTGGACAGTGTGAAAGGCATATCGTTCACACTAACGCGGTGCCTACATGGGGTTGGGCTGTAGATTTTGAATTTTGTAGCTGGGTAGATCCCCCCCCCCCCCACCACCACCAACCCGGGGTTGGATTTTCCCCGTAGAGCACCGGAGCTGTGTAGATGCTGTGTTGGATTCTTGCCATTGTAAAGGGGTTCCTGAAATCTCCATACCCAGAGCCAACAAAGACATTTTGGATAGAATGAAAGGTCCTATAGAGTAGGTTTACTATGCAAGCCTGTGTACGTACACGTAGGTGTGAACATGGAGTGAATGAATCCCGCCGGCCATAGCAATCATTAATCAGGCAGATTATTTGCACACAGTGAGCAAGCACAGATGACTCACTAATGGTCTCTCACCATCAAACCAGAGAAAAGAAAGAAGAAAGAATGAAAAATAAATGATCAATTTGTGTACACAGGGTGTCTATCTGGCGTCTCCTGGGACGTAATCTTGGTGATGTCATAGTGAGATGTCTTTTCCTGTCTCCGTCCACGAGCCAAATAAAATCTACGTTTCCACTAAGGAAGTTGTAGTACATCTTAATGTTTGCTTGTACCTCTGGTGGAGCACAGATACATGTGTATGGAAAGAAAATATTGACTTGAAACAATAATTTGAAAGGGGAAAAAATGGAGGCTAGCTGTGAGAGTTTTCGGATGACGCAGTTTCTAAGGATGCAGATGTCTTTCCCATTCTCCATCCATGGGGAAAAATAAAATGTAGATTTCAATGGAGAAAGGTGTAGTACATAATGCATGCTTTAGACTGGGGATTTACTTATTTATTTATCTATTTGTTATTTATCCTGGGTGATCCATTCTGTGAGAAAAACTCACTGATCTCCCATGGATCCCAGCTCACACAAAACTACTATTAAAATAAATTACAATATTAAGAGTACACATGTACAATGTAAGAATGTTTAAAAAAAAAATCATTTAAATTAACTTAAATAAAATAGGAATTGGGATACATCAAAAAGTCCATGAAAAATATTTGGCAGGGCTCCAAACAACAAGGAGTCTATCTACAGTACATAATGTACATGCCTTAAAAAAGGCACTACCAACTGCCCATTGCAAATTTTTAATAGAAATCTTGACCCAAAAAGAAAACAAAAAGTGATGAAAATTCTCATTAAATTTACGTGTGGGGCTTTTTCAAAAGTCCACAAATCTAGATAAATCTTGGAAAATCCCATCCTAATGTTTTATTTTTACACGCGAATTTGAAAGAGCACAGAACAATGATTTGAATGGAAAAGACATCAATCAACAACTTTCCGATGAATGCGGTTTCCGAGCATGCTAGTCCTGTTCAAAGAGTGTTATCATTTGTCCTTTAGTCTTCAGTCGAAAGAAACAAAGATTTGCTGTTTCAGTAAAAGTGGGGTCACAACAGAAATATGTGGTGAAACCCAAGCAAACAAGCATCTTCAGGTGCGGTAAGCTTTCCAGCACGTTATTGCCGTAGGCTTGTGAGCTGTACAGTGCTATGAGAAATATTTGGTTTTATCATCAGAAAAAAATTGTTTTATTATAATCAAAATGCACACACACTACACGTAATGCCATACTTTGCCTGCCAGCTATACACGTGTTCATGAGCAGAATCGAAAACAAGACGGGTATTGTTATGAAATGTGAATATTGTTGAGCGTCCCACCAAATCAGATAAAACCCCAAAGATCTGGCAAAAGTACTCACATGATTTTCCACAATGCATGAAACGGCCGTTTAAACAACAAGGTTTCTGTTCAGAGTGTGTGCCTGCCTGGTTCACCCTCCATCCGTGCAGGTGTGAAAGGATAATATGGAGCAGTTTACACAGTGGCTACTGTGCAACCGTTTAATGCCACTGCCGATAGGCTGCGTTGGGGACAGCCATTGCGGTGGGTGACTCATCCTTGAGCCGGGGTCGCTGTCATTCATGAAAATGCGCATGGGACCCTTGTAGGCAGTACTTGATCGTACAAGGTGTTGTTAAAATCATGGTTGTGGAGACATGAATGTTTATCCTTGAAACTTGTAAGGTACATGGTGGGAACCGTGTTTTTATTGGGTAGGGTGACTAGGGTCCGTAATTTTTTGTGGGCAAGAAAAAAAAATGCCCATAGGAATAACTGCTCAGTCTGTACAGTGCATGTACAAATGTACACTTATTTATTTGTGGATCAAGACTTTTATGTCCTGGCATTTAAAACCCAAACGGGCAAATGGGATTAACAGAAAAATGTAATTAACCCTAACCCCTTGAGTACTTTTACTAGAAAGTATCCCGAATCCGCCAAAATCCACAAATTTTGTCATGCAAAAAAATGTTAGTGTCCTGAGTCCAACAGAATCCACCAATGAGTCCATCAGAATCCACCAGTGTAGCTCCTACTCGTACAAAAAAGTGATTCAACTTCAAGCACAGCTCCATCATTCAAGCAATTTCATGTTTTCTCATTAAGGTATCTTAAGTACAATATCGTGACCATCTCCCTTGACATCTCATGGCTATTGTACATGTACATGTAGCTTCTGTTGGCTCTTACCGCTACTTTTTCTCCACTTCCCATCACCTTTTTTTAATAATGTCAATCTAAATTTGCTTTAACTGTACTACAAAAACACGGGAATGAAGCAGACTGTTTCCACAATGGTTCAACGTGTAGCTTTTTGGTCAGGCATTTATCCAAACCTAGGCTAAAATTACCTTGGAATCCATGGTAACAAATGATACCACATCCTTCAAAAACATGTTTCCCAGGCCTTGGGATTGTAAGGAACTTTTTTGTCACAAGGTCGTGGCTGTCAGGCTACAATATAATACATCAAATTATTATGGGCAGCAGGTTGAGCCCAGGGCAAGTTTTACACCTTTGACCTCCAAGCTGACCTGAACTAACCTTATGACCTGAACTGACCTTTCATACCCACAAGAAGTACCCTTTTTAAAAGAGAGGCATTTAAAGAGTACCGTACCATGAGGTACCAAATACACCTACCTATAAATCAGGAAAAAGTGGTTGGACCAATCATTCTCTTCATGTGGGAATATTGAAAATTGCCTGAAAGTTATGATGGGCTCCAAGTGAAATATGCACTCGACCACTGGATGGAGTCCAGTGATTTAAGTGTTAGGCCTAGTCTAGTAGTATTGTTTCACACTTCAGCGGCAGATAGCTGTCTATCTTGTTAGACTGTCTTCAAGCTCAGGCTGTCAGTCAGACTAAGTAAGATCATTGCAATGACACAGTCTAAGTGCTAAGACAGTCTAATAATAGTTAGCCTGGGTTGGGCTGGCTTAAAACGATCTATACTTGGGAATTTTTTTTTAGCCATCGGGGTGTTAAAATATTTTTTTCCAGAATTTTTTTTTTTAGTTGATGAGAGTTTGACAATTTAAATAGAAAAATACTGCTTGGAGAAAGCATTTTTCCAAGATAAAAGGAATCTTCTTGAGAAATATAGTGACACTGAGTTTTCTGCAAATACAATTTTCTCGACATAAAATCACTTAATTGACAGATTTGATTTCACATGATTTGAATCAGACAAACTGAACAATTAAGCAGAGCAGCTCCGGTATAACAGGACGTTATGAGCACCACAACCCGTAATTAACGTCAAACTCTGCGATTTGAATACCTTCATTCTTCATCTCAATTGCACTTTGGGGTTCCAATAAGCATTTTTGAAAATGCATAGCAATGAGAGCAAAAGTACAACAATTGGCTTTACTTTTTAGGAACTACTCTACCCTGTTATGAAAACATGAAGTTATCACACTGTTTAATGTGCTTGCTCAACCAATAAACTATTGACAGGCTGAAAAATTACTGTTTGCATTTAATTTTGCTGTGCACACAGTTATTCCACTTGAGTGCTCACCAGTTAGCCTCCTCAATACCAAGTTCAATGCACACTTAGACAAAATTTATACACACATTTTTACACTGGTGGTATACATTTATAACAGAACTGCAACAGCCCCCTACAGGGATAAATAGTCAAGATCAGGGGCCAATTTCACGGCGCTGCTAAGCACAAAAATTTGCTTAGCACAAAAAAAGGGCTGGCTTATAAAAGCAGGTTACCAGCCAAAACTCCACGTGATGTATATATTGCTCGTGATTAGCATTCAGCTGTTGTTTGCTTAGCATTGAAAAACACATGGGGTTTTGGCCAGTAACCTGCTTTTATAAGCCCGACTTTCTTTGTGCTAAGCAAATTTTTGTGCTTAGCAGCGCCGTGAAATTGGGCCCTCAGTATTCATGTTTACTTTTAGGATTATCCTCACTCCTGCAGGTTTTATTTATTAGTTCCCATCCAGGTTCCCATCCTTCCAATGAACAGCCCAGGGAAGTCCAGTCAAAGAAAAAAATTCACATTCAAAAGAAACCACAATGCACTTCAGACTCGATCAGGCAGGTATAACCGGTGATTTCCTAAACCCACCGGGATTTCAATGGGGTTGATGGGGTTGAAATAAACTCCTTTGCAAAAATGCATAGTGAAAAAGAACTTGACGGCAAACATACAAGTACAGAGGCTGTGTGGATGCTGATGGTTTTTTTTCTCAGTATTTGCCTTTAGGTTTTGGATAATGGAAAGTAGAATGAAACTTTAATTTAAGTGTAATCGAAGTGGTGGTCCAGACTCCAGACCTGAGAAAGCCTGTCAAGTCACAAGGGCGGATCCAGGGGGGGGGGGGGGGGGGGGGGGGGGGGGCAAAGGGGGCCATGGCCCCCCCCCCAAAAACGAAACCAATTTTTTTTAATTTTTTATGTGACATCGCAATAAAGGCAGGCAATGAGTACACAACCATCTTTTCCTAAAAAAAACATTGGTTAAAGTGGTCAGAAATTGCCTCAGATCGCACCACAGAGCATCTAGAATCCAAAATTTTTGGACCCACTTTTTGGGGGGACCAAATTGTTTTTTGGCCCCTCCCAAAATTGTGTTCTGGATCCGCCCTTGTCAAGTCAGCTCTTATCTTGTGTCCCAGCACAACGTACTGTTGTATACATATAGGTTGAGAGAACTTCAGTCCAGATTCCGCATTGAAAACTGAAAGGGAAGCGATTGGCATGGGTGTTCAGTTCACCAATTTGGAAGTTGAAATTGAGAAAGTTCTGCAATGTTAAATTCATTGAATCAATATATTCCGTACACCATCATGAGTGTACATACTGTACATGTACATGTGTACATGTAACATATTTTGACAAAGACGGCACTTTGCATGACTGGCAAGCAATATTCCGGAACTAAATGTACATTGTACAATCATGTACAATGTATTACACTCAGGGGAAATATGACACTTGAAGCGTAGACCAAGGAAGTAACTTTTGTCAAAATCTAATGCACAGAGTTCCTGGTTGGATCATTGCCAATGGCGACCCATAGAAAACTATTGGGTCATGTCCCTCCCAGTAACCGCTGCCTGTGACAAAAACTTAACAATGAAAATTGCAGTTCATGTGCATTTGCAATACAATACACAGTGCATGTACCTACAAATTGCACAAGGAAGGTTTTGAACAGTACATCAAAAATTTTCTATAATCTATTTCTGTTCTGCCACGTGATATGAATATTGGACTATGCCAGGCATGTGCGTGCCTCCCACCGCACAGAGCGAGAAGTGGAGCATACATTACACCTCCCGTTGGGCATCACGTGGCATTCATCAAAACGTCCCCCGGCACCTCGCAATCCCGCGCCGCACCACGCTGCGGCCTGTTCCAGGTACTAGGCCAGGCGCATCTTCCCCCTGCTCCCCACCCCCCAAGTCCAGGGCAGACGACATCAGATCTCATTAAATCATATCGCTCTGATGGAATGTCGCAGATTGAGAAATATGCGATTGTATATGGCTGCTTGCGGCAAAGAGATGAAAGAAGAATTTGAAATGTGTTAAGTGAGACATTGAGATTCAACGGGGGAAAAAAAGATCGGGACCTATGGATGAAAGCAGTAGGTTTTTTTTGTTAGAAACTGGGAAATAATGTGAGATTTGTTCATCAAAACAGCTCTAATGGAATGTCATGGACTTAAAAATATGCAATCCTTTTTCTACTCGTGGCAAGGAAGACAAGAGAGGAGGGAAAAAATGTTACAACCTGACGCCACTTCTGCGATCGTGTACAAAGTCTATGGAGGGTCAAGAAAATTGTGTATTTCCTAACAAAATTGGAAATGTTTCTCAGTCCCAGAATTCATGTCTTACCATCATTTTTGCAATGAATGACCTTCATTGAGATGACATATCAGTAAAAAGAAAAAAGTGGCATCAGGTTGCAACATTTTTTTCCGAGAGAAATCCCAACAGTCTCAAGACATGGTATTCAATCTAGGAAAAACCTCATTGATATATGATGTGGACAAAAACACTCAGCTTAAGTCAGAAATTGTTGGAGACGACATCAAATCTCAAACTTTACATCTCAATTGCTCCAAAAGGAATCCCACAGATTGAGAATTTTTTATATGCGATTGTATTGCTGCCAGAGGCAAAGAAACTTAAAGAACAATCTGAGATGTGTTGACAGAGACAAGAGAATAACATGCAAAACCTCAGTTACTTTCCAGTAAATATAAACCCTAAACCTGCTGCCTATGGGCTCCGTGCGCCAACAAAGCTTAACCATAGCATCTTCGCGCGTGAGCGTCTGGCGTCGTCGGCACGCGAATACATTCAAATTAAACTTGCGATGGTCTCCCAGACTAATCCCCGCCCCCAACAACTTTGGATCATTCGAAATATGCAGTGGATGAACCGGGAACCAGTCTAGGTCTCCCCCAACTCTCCCTTGCTGGCCGTTGAAGGGGTACTTGGGCACGGAGCCCATAATGAACAACTGTACCGGTACATTAACATCGGTTTAGAAACGAAATGCACAATTCCACATCTAGCGAAACCATGACTTTTTCTGGTAATTCCCCATGTAGCAAAGAAAACCTGCAGGCAATGCAGAGGATTTAGATGTGATCCCGTCTGCTCTCGATTCTAGTTTTCATATGTGAAAGGATAAACAGATTTTTATGGAAAACCTGCCCCAGCGCATTCCTGAATTGCTGAGGCTCACTGCAATTGCCCCAAGACCAGCGACAACTCCAAGGGGAACTACATGGTTAATATCAGGCAGACTTTCTAGCTTTGGCAGCGGTGCCCTTTGGTGATTCTATTTTGGGCCGATTATCTTTGGAAAATTGGGGTAATCTTCCATCAGCTAGAGATAGACGGAGCCAAATCAGGCCCTGTGGGGAAACAGAATTTTTAAGCCTGCACTGTTTTTGTCCCTGTTTTGCACATTGCTACCAGCAGTGGGCATACTTTCCTGTATGCTGGGACTTGGCTTCAGCACATAAAACTTTTATCCTGTTTGCAGAGATAACCTTTTACATTGTATTTCTGTTGGGTGTTTAAATAATGATACACACTCTCTGAAAGACAATCTTATGCACATAAACAAATTATTACTTTTGAACTACGGTATTTTGATAATGATACATGTATGCACTACATGTACATGTACAATGTATATTCTAAGGGGGATCTAGAGGTCTCCATTCAAATGTTCTTGGACATGCCACCGGGAAGTAACAAAAAAGAGGACATTCCAAGCTTAAGGCTTTACAACACATACAGTGCTTTTCAATTTTTAGTGGCATAAGTGTCCAGTGAAAAACGTGGAAATCAGCTTCCGAGGAAAAGTTGCATGCCTGTGTTCTATGATGGCATTTTTGATGAAAAAAACATTGAACCATAAACTCCCAGCCTCTTCAGTTGAAACTAACACAGCCATCCCAGATTGGTGCAGTTTTTGTTGCAACACAGCGAGGATCCGAACCCGATGTTTCTATAGGCCTACAGTACATACTTTACATGTTCTTCTGACCCCAGATAACAATATAAATTCAACACTACCAGGGGCTACAAAGATTTGTTTGTAAACAAAAAGTACTGAGGAAGTTGACTGTTCAAAATCTGCAATTTCATCTGTTCACTCGGACAATGTAAATTAACTTTATTGCTGAGTCAGTTTCCGTCTATTTGTTTAAAGCAAATGCCGTATCAGTAAACCATTTGATACATAATTTTGAGCTACATGCTGAAGTTACAAATGTCCCGAAGGTGCAATTGTTACATTTCCAAATGCTGTACATATTCCAATATTACACATACTTGCACAATGTACAGTATGTATGTCTACCCCCCCCCCCAAAAAAAACCTGTCTCCAGAATACAACTCCCTCAACATTCATCACCCAATTTGCATTACGCTGAACACGTATACCACTTTAAGACAGAATTTTTGGAAGCCATGGCGTTTCTCATCCGCAACACTGGTAAATGCTGTCAAGACAGATCAAATGTGTCCAAACACACTGAAATATTTACTCAGGCTTACCTAACGTGTCGTACATCGATGGTGAATCATCGGCAATACTTTCCCCCGCTAGTGCTCACTGGACCAGAATGTACACAAGACACACATGCACAGCTCTCTCCCCACAGAGTTTGCTCCTACTGCATTGACCAAGAAGGGTAAGAGTAAAGATTGCTCCTGCTTGCTACAGTCAAGTAAGTGACAGTCTTGACTGATGATCAAGTCGATATCACTGAGTCTATTGAGACTACCGCAGCTGTGGGCCGCAAACGCCAATGCCACAAGTGCTCTATCAAAGCCAAGGCTGGTTGTGCCCGACCTATTACACATTTCAACAATCTTGATTGGCAGACCGCAAGGCCAGGCCTGTCCATAGCTGGATGATGACAAACAGGGGGTCCTGAAAAAATGTTGTTTCTCCAACACGCAGTGAGATCATGGATATTTTGTTTAAACCTTCAGGTTTACAAATATGGGGGGTTTTTTTTATTAAAGATGTAATTTTGAATAAGATAGCAGTCACTAAATAATATAGACCTAAGCTCATACATGTATACATTTTATAGTAGATTATTAATTGTTAATTCGGCTAACTTTCTTCCAAAAAGGATTTAAAGGTTTGCATGGTGAAGCAAGCAATACCGGCCAGGTTGCGGTAGTAACATGGGACAAGAAATCTCTTTTGTGAGTTTTTGTGGTCCTGCCAGGGTCCTGCTGCAAGGAAATTCTTTGTTTCGGACAGCATGCTCTGCCTGTCATCAAGAAACAGGTTTTTTGTTTCAAAGTTCATGTTCAAGGAATAACAAGTGATATGGTCATTAAGAATGGTCTTAAAGTTTAACTTCCTTAAACTAAGTTTTAAAAAAAATACTGCTAAAAAATGTGGCACTCTAAATAATATTAATTTCAAAAATGAGAAATTAGAGATCACGGGCCAAGAAATTAATGGTGGAATTTGATGCTGTGACATGATGAAATGTAATAATAAGTCGCTGAGAAACAACTTTCTGGATGCCGATGAAAACATCTGCTTCTGGATCAGACACGACACGTACCTTGCTCTTGGGTTGAACTCCGTGCATCCCAATCAACGTTTCGTGTTACCATACTTGGGCCAATGTGTGTTGAAACAGTGGAGGAATTTCAACACTTATTTGTTGACGCTGAGAACCTGGGGTTTTCCTTTTTTGTTTCGGCAGGCCCCGAGAGCGAAAGTTTATCCAAAAACTGATAGTGCTTACAGCTTGCCCTGCAAAAATATCCAACTTTGGGCCGGGCGGGGTTCAACAAGATGGATGAAAGGTTTCGTCTGTTGTGCCATGATGGAATCAGGGGTGATACTTCGGGCTACCAACTTTAATGTTATTTGTTTTTCCAGAGGAATGAAAAACAACCTTAAGTTTGTCAACTACGCCAAGTTGAAGTGAAAGTTTTACAGAGTTAACTTTGTCAACTTTTATTTCAAATTCAACAGTTTCAGCATAACTGTTATTTGTTTTTCCAGAGAAATCAAATACAATGAAATTTTTTTTTAGGTCAACTTGGCCAAGTTGGAGTGAAGGTTCATATGGCCAAACTTTGACAACTCTTTCATTTAGAATCAAACAAAAACTGTCAATGCACAACAAAAAAACTTGACACTGACTTTTCAAACCACGGCTGAAACAATTATATCTTTTTACGAAAAGCGGGATTTTTTTCTCAAACTTTCCTACACAGCTTGCAAGACCTTGTACTCACTTTACACAGTTTGCAGATGTGAACATTCATCACACAGTATGTAGTTTAAAAAATCACCAAATATGACCACAATGGTGGCAGGAAAAAATGAATGAACATGCTTTTACTCTTTCCAATGTCAAGGCTTCAAGCACTCTGCCAATGTCTAAAAAAGAATCCCCTTGCCATATAAAGCCTTTATCCTAATCTGATTAGACCTTTAATCACAGCTGAATTAGCTTGAAGTTAACGCTCAGCTTGACTTTGAAGGATGGTGGACAATAATAGGCTGATCTGGACAAAGAATCCAACCACGATCAGATTATAAGTTGTCTGGTGCTCTACATACATACCAATTTATAAGCCAACAATAAACTATAAATGTCTCACTCCTTATTAATGCTCATTTTCAGTCGTTTACTAAGTGTCGTTTGAAAGATATAGTTTGAGGAGCTTAATAAGTCAATTATCCATGACCTTTTGGCTCTTCCAGGAAACTAGTTACTGCACATGTCTGACCTTATTCTGGCATCATTAATAGCAAGTACATTGTCCTGTTATTCCAGCATCTGAAAGCAGTTTTTCAAACTTCTCCTCTGTGGGGACTTTTTATTGTAATTGCTTAAAATATTTTTTTGGTGAAAAAAATAAAGGACCCAATGGATACAAAAACTAGTTATCATCACAGTGTAGCAAACAACGATATGAAAGCAACGAAAAGAAAAGTCGGTTTGTTTTTTTTTGCAAGAAGAAAATCCCCACAAAGGAAGAGAACTACATGTAAATCTAAATTTGCATGAAAACTTGCTTAGGCAACCAACGTTTGACAATGAGCACCTGATTCGGAAATGGGACCACAGTCGATGGAAATGGAAGGCGATACGTCTCAACTACCGGTGCTGCAGTGTGATGGGTAACATCTTCTGATCATTTAAAACCATCCGTATAGTTTTATTAAGTAAAACACTTCAATTTTCCAACTTCTTATAGCAATCAAACAGCAGTTGTACCACACATTGTGTATTCAAATCCAATGCTAGTCACAAGATTACTTACAAATGTACCCTCCTTTTGTTTGATCAGTCACAGACAGTCAAAAATTCAATCCTGTTCCCTTGCCATGCCTTTTACACTGGCTAGTCACCGATAGTCAGATCATACTTCTTGTAGGCAGTGTGACAGCCAAATTCAATCAACAGACAAAAGCAGGTGACTGGTAGGCATAAAGCATGCTGGTAGCTATATCAGTTTCGTAACAATCCAAGCCAAACAGTCATGCTTTATGAAGGCAGGGATCACTCATATTAAAAACAGTCATTTGATTTATTTTGACTGCTGGGCTGGCCTTGTTGGAATTGCCAGGGAGGGTTTTAATTCATTAATCCATAAATTACCCATTAACTTTGGTCAGTTTGCTTTTCAAATGATTGATGATCTATGTACACTACTGGGCAACAAAAAAATCTGCTCCAGCCTTACACATGAAACTTGAAAGCGAAAGAGTTGCTAAATAATACAAGTTAATAAGGCAGCAAACCTTGTAGAAAACTTGCACTGAACTATAAAGGCAGGCAGCCAAGAAAACTTGTATCAGTCATTTTTCAAGGGTTTTTGAGTGTGATTACAATAATATCAAAAGCAAACACTCATCTATCATCCTGGATTAACCCAGACCAATTATAGTACTGACATTGCTTTGGTGATTTCAGGTGAGCTGTGTTTGAGGATTTGAAGTACCTCAACGACAGCAAACACAATACACAAGGCTATCCTGATTATGATATGGGATTCAATTAAAACGGGATTGTCAACGTGTGCATAGAATAACATTTGAGATAATTTGGGGGACAATGAGATATGGGCCCCTGAGTGTTCTGGGTACAATAAAAGACAGAGTACTGGGGTCATGAGGTTTCTACTGTGAATTTTAGTAGTAAAGCCTTTTGGTCATCATTTGTGTATTAGTTATGGGGTTAATTAAGGTTTTATGGCAGAAGTTTTAATTTTGAACAGTCTGTTTGCAATACAGAAAGGGAACTGATCCATTCCAAACAGAATTTGTCAGGTCAACTGAGAACAGTCATCCAATAGGATATGAGAGTAATATTGAGACATGAAAAATGGATTTTGTACCATAAAAACTATTCTGTATTTTGTTTTCTCTATTTTTATTAAATTCGATGGGCACAATATTTTCTCAACATTCTTTGTAATTTAAGGACTTAATTTAAAACTATTTATTTGAGTTGGAGCTGAAAATCAAGGAAACAACCTAGTCAATGCGCAGCCGATTTTTACGAAACAAGGACACAAACTTGTTGTGCAGCTGCCTAGAAACTTACAATGGATTTCACCAAAATTGGTGTAGGATAATAACAGTTTTCATGACGGCTAAAGTGGATCAATTTATAGACGTCAGGGAATTGTCAGGTCAGGGACCCAGACTAGCTGGCTTGCACCCATTAATAATAATTTAATAATTGTGCTTATGCTTTCCATCATATCAACAATCTCAAAGCGCTTTACAATTATTACCCCGTTCGTCAGGCCATGGGACCACGCGGCAGCCGATATCAGCGCTCAATCGGTCCTCGACCCTCACAGGTACCCATTTTATACATCTGGGTGGAGAGAGGCAATTGTAGTGAAGTGTCTTACCCAAGGGCACAAACACCATGTTCTCCGGCAGGGTTCGAACCCATGCACCTTCGTACATGAGTCAAACACCCTAACCACTGGACCATGGCATTCTACACATCCATTTACGGGTGTGTAACCAATTGCAAACAAAATTTGGACTGACTTTTGTAAGTTGGGGGCAGTATTTGTAAAAAGTCAGGGTTTTTTTCAAACAATGGTTTGCCAATGTATAATATTATCTTTAAATTAAAGTTACACACAACCCAAGACATGGGCAACACCATGAGACAATTGGTTAAGTTTTCAGTTTTAAGACGGAAAAACAGCTAGACATGTAGCAATCAACATCAGACACATTTACTCGACCATCGAACCACATCTTCTAACACATTATTTCATTATAGATGAAAGAGAAGGAAACATAAGTGCATTGGCTCTCAACGCCCACTCCCTTCACTGCTCACCTAATTCTCGCCACGTCGATCTCTCAATTTGTTTGGCTCCAGCCCCCAAATTATATTAGACTGTATTGGTTACAGACCTCTTAATTTCAAGTGATATTCAAAGCTGTAATGAAGACATCAGTGCCATCGTTCAGCCGTGGCATAGTACAACGAACTCAGCATAAAGGGAACAGGACTTCCAGACCGTTGGATTTCCACAAACACATCCGTGTGATGATTTGTCACGATGAAATATTTTGACAAAAGACACTCCCAACCTGATCATCTCAATTTCATGTCTCGACCAAATTAAATGAGGCCAACTTCCCCATTAGAAATTATGATTAGCGGGCCATGATTCCCAGTGAAATATAATCTGAATTCTCCTTTTACGAAATACATAAATGAAAAAGGAAACCAGAGCCGTTTTTTCTTTTACATTCATAGATTATGGGTG